ATCGATGGCGCAGTGGTAACACACTCGCCTCACCAGCAATTTGACCTGGGGTCGAGACCTTGCCAGGGAGGATTGACTAGTGGTCATTCTTTAAATGCTCGCCACTGTTCACCCAGAAGTAATTAGGTACTTCGTTGTAAATGGATTAGTGGGAGATAAGGAGCCCGCCGAGCCTTTAAGTAGCCAGACCGCCATTGGCTAAACCATTCCAAGTGGATAGGTTAATGCTATTGAAATCGTTTAACTTAGTATGATAGAGTTAGTTGATGAGGATGATAAAGTTAATCCCTTAGAATAAAGTAATTAGATGAGGATGATAAAGTTCATCCTTGAAGATAAAGTAAATCCCCCCCCTGGTTTTCTTAATCCTTTCTTATAATGTATATATAAGGAGACCGCGACTTAGGTTCTCCTCGCGGGAGACATCTCCCGTCACGCAGGGTGCAGTCGCACCTCCACAGATCTCCAGTATCAGCTCTTGATACTGGTAATGGCTCATAAAGGGCCACCACTTACGGGCTATTCATGCCCGTGCCACCTTTTGGGTGGTTTAATCTTCATCAATCAGTCAATAGATTCTCCTGAAGGAGGAGGCTTGAACAATCTCTCCTTTCACCTCACGCACCTAACTTTGGACCGAGTCAACCGTTCAAAATGAGACAAATGAAAGCATGCAGCGCAATATTGACGTTTTCTAAGCAATTGCCTCGATAGATTAGGTGGGTTGTGTGGGTTTGTGAGTTGATGGTTAAGCAGAACAGTTGAGTTTTTAACGGAGTGGTGAATTGAGATCTGTGGATGGATCAAGTGGAGAAAGTGCACAAGTGGATGAAACTCGTTAATTAATTAATAATTAATTAATTATGGCCTGAAAATAATTAAGGCAGATCAGAACTCTCATCAAATGTTATAAATTAGTGACATTCTGATTGAAATGGTTGTAGACGAATGTAATATATGATATCGTGGCCTCTTGAGGCCAAGCGTATAACAGAAACTGTTAACAATAGGACTGATTGTTGCAGGAGGGAAACTGGTTGGATTTAAATAGGAATTGCCTATTATAAATAGGCCTACTGAAGTAAATTGTTCCTTAAGTGTTTTCCACCAAGAAATTATATATTTTAAACCTGAAACAATAATAATTTTTACATTGGGACGAAAAATATTTTTACTGTTACTGCAAAAAAAATAATAATATATATTCAGTTCTATTTCTCCCAAAAAAAAAATTTTCCATTTCAATTATGTAAGTTCAAACCTTTATACAACTTTCTTTTTTAATGAAACATCAATGCAATTCGCAGTGGCGCGGGCCACATTGGCAACGATATAGAGCGTCCATTGGAGGATGGGGAAGGGGGGGATGTTGCCAGGGGTCCATCAGACTGTTACTGCCTCCCTCTATGTAAATGGCATCGAACCTGTTCACATCTCTGTTTTCCTTTCTTCCGCTAATTGAATTCGCCACTTAGCGCCTGCGATCAAATTAGAATCTGCTGCCCCGGGATGACTTTAATTGTGATTCTTCTCTATCTCCTCCATTCGCTGCGTTCTCTATCTTCCTCTGTTCCTCTCTTATCTGTCTTTGCTTAATGATTTTGTTTTTCTTGGGGGGGGGGGGGGGAGGTCGTTGGCTTCGTTATTTGTTTTGTTGTTTATGTTTATCTTTATCTTTATCTTTATCTTTATCTTTATCTTTATGTTTACTTCTGCGTCTCCTTCCTTGTCATGCCTCACGCCCGTGTCATGCCTCTCGCCCGTGTCATGCCTCTCGCCCGTGTCATGCCTCTCGCCCGTGTCATGCCTCTCGCCCGTGTCATGCCTCTCGACTGTGTCATGCCTCTCGCCCGTGTCATGCCTCTCGGCCGTGTCATGCCTCTCGCCCGTGTCATGCCTCTCGGACGTGTCATGCCTCTCGTCCATATCATGCTTCTCGGCCGTGTCATGCCTCTCGGCCGTGTCATGCCTCTCGCCCGTGTCATGCCTCTCGCCCGTGTTATGACTCTCGCCCGTGTCATGCCTCTCGACTGTGTCATGCCTCTCGCCCGTGTCATGCCTCTCGCCCGTGTCATGCCTCTCGCCCGTGTCATGCCTCTCGCCCGTGTCATGCCTCTCGACTGTGTCATGCCTCTCGCCCGTGTCATGCCTCTCGCCCGTGTCATGCCTCTCGACTGTGTCATGCCTCTCGCCCGTGTCATGCCTCTCGCCCGTGTCATGCCTCTCGCCCGTGTCATGCCTCTCGCCCGTGTCATGCCTCTCGACTGTGTCATGCCTCTCGCCCGTGTCATGCCTCTCGCCCGTGTCATGCCTCTCGACTGTGTCATGCCTCTCGCCCGTGTCATGCCTCACGCCCGTGTCATGCCTCTCGCCCGTGTCATGCCTCTCGCCCGTGTCATGCCTCTCGCCCGTGTCATGCCTCTCGTACGTGTCATGCCTCTCGACTGTGTCATGCCTCTCGCCCGTGTCATGCCTCTCGCCCGTGTCATGCCTCTCGCCCGTGTCATGCCTCTCGACTGTGTCATGCCTCTCGCCCGTGTCATGCCTCTCGGCCGTGTCATGCCTCTCGCCCCTGTCATGCCTCTCGCCCGTGTCATGCCTCTCACCCGTGTCATGCCTATCGGCCGTGTTATGCCTCTGGCCCGTGTCATGCCTCTCGCCCGTGTCATGCCTCTCGCCCGTGTCATGCCTCTCGCCCGTGTCATGCCTCTCGCCCCTGTCATGCCTCTCGACTGTGTCATGCCTCTCGCCCGTGTCATGCCTCTCGCCCGTGTCATGCCTCTCGCCCGTGTCATGCCTCTCGCCCGTGTCATGCCTCTCGCCCGTGTCATGCCTCTCGCCCGTGTCATGCCTCTCGCCCGTGTCATGCCTCTCGCCCGTGTCATGCCTCTCGACTGTGTCATGCCTCTCGCCCGTGTCATGCCTCTCGCCCGTGTCATGCCTCTCGCCCGTGTCATGCCTCTCGCCCGTGTCATGCCTCTCGCCCGTGTCATGCCTCTCGCCCGTGTCATGCCTCTCGCCCGTGTCATGCCTCTCGCCCGTGTCATGCCTCTCGCCCGTGTCATGCCTCTCGCCCGTGTCATGCCTCTCGCCCGTGTCATGCCTCTCGCCCCTGTCAGGCCTCTCGTCCGTGTCATGCCTCTCGCCCGTGTCATGCCTCTCGCCCGTGTCATGCCTCTCGACTGTGTCATGCCTCTCGCCCGTGTCATGCCTCTCGCCCGTGTCATGCCTCTCGACTGTGTCATGCCTCTCGACTGTGTCATGCCTCTCGCCCGTGTTATGCCTCTCGCCCGTGTCATGCCTCTCGCCCGTGTCATGCCTCTCGCCCGTGTCATGCCTCTCGCCCGTGTCATGCCTCTCGGCCGTGTCATGCCTCTCGCCCGTGTCATGCCTCTCGCCCGTGTCATGCCTCTCGCCCGTGTCATGCCTCTCGGCCGTGTCATGCCTCTCGCCCGTGTCATGCCTCTCGACTGTGTCATGCCTCTCGCCCGTGTCATGCCTCTCGCCCGTGTCATGCCTCTCGCCCGTGTCATGCCTCTCGGCCGTGTCATGCCTCTCGCCCCTGTCATGCCTCTCGCCCGTGTCATGCCTCTCGCCCCTGTCATGCCTCTCGCCCGTGTCATGCCTCTCGCCCGTGTCATGCCTCTCGCCCGTGTCATGCCTCTCGACTGTGTCATGCCTCTCACCCGTGTTATGCCTCTCGCCCGTGTCATGCCTCTCGACTGTGTCATGCCTCTCGCCCGTGTCATGCCTCTCGCCCGTGTCATGCCTCTCGCCCGTGTCATGCCTCTCGCCCGTGTTATGCCTCTCGCCCGTGTCAGGCCTCTGGCCCGTGTCATGCCTCTCGCCCGTTTCATGCCTCTCGCCCGTGTCATGCCTCTCGCTCGTGTTATGCCTCTCGCCCGTATTATGCCTCTGGCGCGTGTCATGCCTCTAGCCCATGTCATGCCTCTCGCCCGTGTCATGCCTCTCGCCCCTGTCATGCTTCTCGCCCGTGTCATGCCTCTCGCCCGTGTCATGCCTCTCGCCCGTGTCATGCCTCTCGCCCGTGTCATGCCTCTCGCCCGTGTCATGCCTCTCGCCCCTGTCATGCCTCTCGCCCGTGTCATGCCTCTCGCCCCTGTCATGCCTCTCGCCCGTGTCATGCCTCTCGCCCGTGTCATGACTCTCGCCCCTGTCGTGCCTCTCGCCCGTGTCATGCCTCTCACCCGTGTCATGCCTCTCGCCCATGTCATGCCTCTCACCCGTGTCATGCCTCTCACCCGTGTCATGCCTCTCACCCGTGTCATGCCTCTCGGCCGTGTCATGCCTCTCGCCCGTGTCATGCCTCTCGCCCCTGTCATGCCTCTCGCCCGTGTCATGCCTCTCGCCCCTGTCATGCCTCTCGCCCGTGTCATGCCTCTCGCACGTGTCATGCCTCTCGCCCGTGTCGTGCCTCTCGCCCGTGTCATGCCTCTCGCCTGTGTCATGCCTCTCGCCCATGTCATGCCTCTCGGCCGTGTCATGCCTCTCACCCGTGTCATTCTTCTGGCCCGTGTCTTGCCTCTGGCCCGTGTCATGCCTCCCGCCCGTGTCATGCCTCTCGGCTGTGTCATGCCTCTCGCCCGTGTCGTGCCTCTGGCCCGTGTCATGCCTCTCGCCCGTGTCATGCCTCTCGGCTGTGTCATGCCTCTCGCCCGTGTCGTGTCTCTGGCCCGTGTCATGCCCCTCGCCCGTGTCATGCCTCTCGCCCGTGTCATGCCTGTCGCCCGTGTCATGCCTCTCGCCCGTGTCATGTCTCTCGCCCGTGTCATACCTCTCGCCCGTGTCATGCCTCTCGCCCGTGTCATGCCTCTCGCCCGTGTCATGCCTCCCGCTCGTGTCATGCCTCCCGCTCGTGTCATGCCTCCCGCTCGTGTCAGGCCTCTCGCCCGTGTCATGCCTCTCGCCCGTGCCATGCCTCTCGCCCATGTCATGCCTCTCGCCCGTGTCATGCCTCTCGCTCGTGTCATGCCTCTCGCCCGTGTCATACCTCTCGGACGTGTCATGCCTCTCGTCCATATCATGCTTCTCGGCCGTGTCATGCCTCTCGGCCGTGTCATGCCTCTCGCTCGTGTCATGCCTCTCGCCCGTGTTATGACTCTCGGCCGTGTCATGCCTCTTGCTCGTGTCATGCCTCTCGCCCATGTCATGCCTCTCGCCCGTGTCATGCCACTTGCTCGTGTCATGCCTCTCGCCCATGTCATGCCTCTCGCCCGTGTCATGCCTCTCACCCGTGTTATGCCTCTCGGCCGTGTCATGCCTCTCGGCCGTGTCATGCCTCTCGGCCGTGTTATGCCTCTCGGCCGTGTCATGCCTCTCGCCCGTGTCATGCCTCTCGTCCATATCATGCTTCTCGGCCGTGTCATGCCTCTCGGCCGTGTCATGCCTCTCGGCCGTGTCATGCCTCTCGGCCGTGTCATGCCTCTCGCCCGTGTCATGCCTCTCGCCCGTGTCATGCCTCTCGCCCGTGTTATGACTCTCGGCCGTGTCATGCCTCTTGCTCGTGTCATGCCTCTCGCCCATGTCATGCCTCTCGCCCATGTCATGCCTCTCACCCGTGTTATGCCTCTCGGTCGTGTCATGCCTCTCGGCCGTGCCATGCCTCTCGGCCGTGTTATGCCTCTCGGCCGTGTCATGCCTCTCGCCCGTGTCATGCCTCTCGCCCGTGTCATGCCTCTCGGCCGTGTCATGCCTCGCCCGTGTCATGCCTCTCGGCCGTGTCATGCCTCTCGGCCGTGTCATGCCTCTCGGCCGTGTCATGCCTCTCGGCCGTGTCATGCCTCTCGCCCGTGTCATGCCTCTCGGCCGTGTCATGCCTCTCGGCCGTGTCATGCCTCTCGTCCATATCATGCTTCTCGGCCGTGTCATGCTTCTCGGCCGTGTCATGCCTCTCGCCCGTGTCATGCCTCTCGCCCGTGTCATGCCTCTCGCCCGTGTCATGCCTCTCGGCCGTGTCATGCCTCTCGGCCGTGTCATGACTCTCGCCTGTGTCATGCCTCTCGGCCGTGTCATGCCTCTCGCCCGTGGCATGCCTCTCGCCCGTGTCATGCCTCCCGCCCGTGTCATTCCTCTCGGCCGTGTCATGCCTCTCACCCGTGTCATGCCTCTCGGCCGTGACATGCCTCTCGGCCGTGTCATGCATCTCGCCCGTGTCATGCCTCTCGCCCGTGTCATGCCTCTCGCCCGTGTCATGCCTCTCGCCCGTGTCATGCCTCTCGGCCGTATCATGCCTCGGCCGTGTCATGCCTCGCCTGTGTCATGCCTCGCCCGTGTCATGCCTCGCCCGTGTCATGCCTCTCGCCCGTGTCATGCCTCGGCCGTGTCATGCCTCGCCCGTGTCATGCCTCGGCCGTGTCATGCCTCTCGCCCATGTCATGCCTCTCGCCCGTGTCATGCCTCGGCCGTGTCATGCCTCTCGCCCGTGTCATGCCTCTCGCCCGTGTCATGCCTCCCGCCCGTGTCATGCCTCTCGGCCGTGTCATGCCTCTCGGCCGTGTCATGCCTCTCACCCGTGTCATGCCTCTCGGCCGTGTCATGCCTCTCGGCCGTGTCATGCCTCTCGCCCGTGTCATGCCTCTCGCCCGTGTCAGGCCTCTCGCCCGTGTCAGGCCTCTCGCCCGTGTCATGCCTCTCGCCCGTGTCAGGCCTCTCGCCCGTGTCATGCCTCGCCCGTGTCATGCCTCTCCCGTGTCATGCCTCTCGGCCGTGTCATGCCTCTCCCGTGTCATGCCTCTCGGTGTCATGCCTCGTGTCATGCCTCGCCCGTGTCATGCCTCACCCGTGTCATGCCTCACCCGTGTCATGCCTCACCCGTGTCATGCCTCGCCCGTGTCATGCCTCACCCGTGTCATGCCTCACCCGTGTCATGCCTCACCCGTGTCATGCCTCACCCGTGTCATGCCTCACCCGTGTCATGCCTCACCCGTGTCATGCCTCACCCGTGTCATGCCTCACCCGTGTCATGCCTCGCCCGTGTCATGCCTCACCCGTGTCATGCCTCACCCGTGTCATGCCTCACCCGTGTCATGCCTCACCCGTGTCATGCCTCACCCGTGTCATGCCTCACCCGTGTCATGCCTCACCCGTGTCATGCCTCACCCGTGTCATGCCTCACCCGTGTCATGCCTCACCCGTGTCATGCCTCACCCGTGTCATGCCTCACCCGTGTCATGCCTCACCCGTGTCATGCCTCACCCGTGTCATGCCTCACCCGTGTCATGCCTCACCAGCATGAAACCACAAGAGTTGCCTCTCAGTAAGTAAAGTTTTTCTCAATTGATGTTTCCTACAGTGTCATACTCTCTGCCTGACACACTTGTATTGATGTTTCCTACAGTGTCATACTCTCTACCTGACACACTTGTATTGATGTTTCCTACAGTGTCATACTCTCTGCCTGACACTCTTGTATTGATGTTTCCTACAGTGTCATACTCTCTGCCTGACACACTTGTATTGATGTTTCCTACAGTGTCATACTCTCTGCCTGACACACTTGTATTGATGTTTCCTACAGTGTCATACTCTCTGCCTGACACACTTGTATTGATGTTTCCTAGTGTCATACTCTCTACCTGACACACTTGTATTGATGTTTCCTACAGTGTCATACTCTCTGCCTGACACACTTGTATTGATGTTTCCTAGTGTCATACTCTCTGCCTGACACTCTTGTATTGATGTTTCCTACAGTGTCATACTCTCTGCCTGACACACTTGTATTGATGTTTCCTAGTGTCATACTCTCTACCTGACACACTTGTATTGATGTTTCCTACAGTGTCATACTCTCTACCTGACACACTTGTATTGATGTTTCCTACAGTGTCATACTCTCTACCTGACACACTTGTATTGATGTTTCCTACAGTGTCATACTCTCTACCTGACACTCTTGTATTGATGTTTCCTACAGTGTCATACTCTCTACCTGACACACTTGTATTGATGTTTCCTACAGTGTCATACTCTCTACCTGACACTCTTGTATTGATGTTTCCTACAGTGTCATACTCTCTGCCTGACACTCTTGTATTGATGTTTCCTACAGTGTCATACTCTCTGCCTGACACTCTTGTATTGATGTTTCCTACAGTGTCATGCTCTCTACCTGACACACTTGTATTGATGTTTCCTACAGTGTCATACTCTCTGCCTGACACACTTGTATTGATGTTTCCTACAGTGTCATACTCTCTGCCTGACACACTTGTATTGATGTTTCCTACAGTGTCATACTCTCTACCTGACACACTTGTATTGATGTTTCCTACAGTGTCATACTCTCTACCTGACACACTTGTATTGATGTTTCCTACAGTGTCATACTCTCTACCTGACACACTTGTATTGATGTTTCCTACAGTGTCATACTCTCTACCTGACACACTTGTATTGATGTTTCCTACAGTATCATACTCTCTACCTGACACACTTGTATTGATGTTTCCTACAGTGTCATACTCTCTACCTGACACACTTGTATTGATGTTTCCTACAGTGTCATACTCTCTACCTGACACACTTGTATTGATGTTTCCTACAGTGTCATACTCTCTACCTGACACACTTGTATTGATGTTTCCTACAGTGTCATACTCTCTACCTGACACACCTACAGTGTCATACTCTCTACCTGACACACTGTATTGATGTTTCCTACAGTGTCATACTCTCTACCTGACACACTTGTATTGATGTTTCCTACAGTGTCATACTCTCTACCTGACACACTTGTATTGATGTTTCCTACAGTGTCATACTCTCTACCTGACACACTTGTATTGATGTTTCCTACAGTGTCATACTCTCTACCTGACACACTTGTATTGATGTTTCCTACAGTGTCATACTCTCTACCTGACACACTTGTATTGATGTTTCCTACAGTGTCATACTCTCTACCTGACACACTTGTATTGATGTTTCCTACAGTGTCATACTCTCTGCCTGACACTCTTGTATTGATGTTTCCTACAGTGTCATACTCTCTACCTGACACACTTGTATTGATGTTTCCTACAGTGTCATACTCTCTACCTGACACTCTTGTATTGATGTTTCCTACAGTGTCATACTCTCTACCTGACACACTTGTATTGATGTTTCCTACAGTGTCATACTCTCTACCTGACACTCTTGTATTGATGTTTCCTACAGTGTCATACTCTCTACCTGACACACTTGTATTGATGTTTCCTACAGTGTCATACTCTCTACCTGACACACTTGTATTGATGTTTCCTACAGTGTCATACTCTCTGCCTGACACTCTTGTATTGATGTTTCCTACAGTGTCATACTCTCTGCCTGACACTTTTGTATTGATGTTTCCTACAGTGTCATACTCTCTACCTGACACACTTGTATTGATGTTTCCTACAGTGTCATACTCTCTACCTGACACTCTTGTATTGATGTTTCCTACAGTGTCATACTCTCTACCTGACACTCTTGTATTGATGTTTCCTACAGTGTCATACTCTCTACCTGACACACTTGTATTGATGTTTCCTACAGTGTCATACTCTCTACCTGACACTCTTGTATTGATGTTTCCTACAGTGTCATACTCTCTACCTGACACACTTGTATTGATGTTTCCTACAGTGTCATACTCTCTACCTGACACACTTGTATTGATGTTTCCTACAGTGTCATACTCTCTACCTGACACACTTGTATTGATGTTTCCTACAGTGTCATACTCTCTACCTGACACACTTGTATTGATGTTTCCTACAGTGTCATACTCTCTACCTGACACACTTGTATTGATGTTTCCTACAGTGTCATACTCTCTACCTGACACACTTGTATTGATGTTTCCTACAGTGTCATACTCTCTACCTGACACACTTGTATTGATGTTTCCTACAGTGTCATACTCTCTACCTGACACACTTGTATTGATGTTTCCTACAGTGTCATACTCTCTACCTGACACACTTGTATTGATGTTTCCTACAGTGTCATACTCTCTACCTGACACACTTGTATTGATGTTTCCTACAGTGTCATACTCTCTGCCTGACACACTTGTATTGATGTTTCCTACAGTGTCATACTCTCTACCTGACACACTTGTATTGATGTTTCCTACAGTGTCATACTCTCTACCTGACACTCTTGTATTGATGTTTCCTACAGTGTCATACTCTCTACCTGACACTCTTGTATTGATGTTTCCTACAGTGTCA